GTCCTCCTAGGCGCGGGTCGAGTTAATTCCGGAGTAGTAAGCTGGTTTAGGATTAGCGTAAGGGCACGCGTGCTGTTATTTCGCACGCGTGCCCTTTATTAAGGCGTTGGTCCTTAAATTAAATAATATATATAGGGGTAGTGCTGTATAGGCTGCGATATATATAAGGGCTGCGGTATACAGGTAGATATAGCTATTAGGTAGGTGCGTAATATAGGCGGCGTAGTATGCGTAGTATATATAGTATGCGTAGTATACGTAGTATATATAGTATGCATAGTATGCGTAGTATATATAGTATACGCAGTATGCATAGTATACGTAGTATGCGTAGTATGCATAGTTATATAAAGTTATAGAAGGTGGAATACCTATATCTCCGCCTCTGCTATTTTTCTAGCCACCGAAAGGTATAGCAGGAGGTCTGTTCTTTAGAGAAGCTATTAGGCCACGGCCTTTTTTCCTTTCTAGCTTCTGTAGAGCTGTTTATACGTCCTTATCTTAGCCTTTTAGAATAGCTCGCCCCTGCTTTTAATATGTTTTCCGCAACTTATTACAATATATTTTAGGGATTAGAGGCTATGCCCGCAAGGGTATGCCGGCGTTGGGTGGCCGGGCACTCTTATACGGTGGAGGTAACCGTTAAGCCCTATATACTCCGTCCGTAGGTTTATAATAATTATGCTCTCTACCTTCGTAAGTTCTTTATATAGTGCCTCTTGTTATTTACTCTATTTAGTGTCGAGTGCTAGTATTAGGGGTTCTTAGCGTAGTTTTTTACGGTAGGCTTCCTATTCCTTCTTCTACTTCTCTTCGTATTTATCCTAGATTATGCCACGCCTCGTGCGCCTATAGGATTCTTCCGATTCGCCTTTATATTATACGGCTAGCCGTAATACCTTTACCGCGAGCTTATAGAGTTCGTTGCGCCTGCTTAGGCCGTACTATAGTGTTCCTTTCGGCCTGTATTTAGTATAGACCGTTTCTTTTATACGGCTATATTAGGTTTTAATATACTTGCGGGCTGGCCCTTTATATATGCGGTCTGCGTAGGCTACTGTAAGTTTTTCTAGCTTTAGCCGGAATAGAGGGTATAATATTTTATACTCTATTACCCTAATATTTATTATTTTATATACCCCTAAAATAGTATAAAGGCACTAGTTCTATACTATTTTAAGCTGCTTAATTTTTATCTTACTAATCTGCTCTTTTATACCTAGTATAGTATACTAGGAGGTGTATCCGTATATAATAGCAGGCCTAATAACCGCCGAGTATATTATACGTGCCTTTTAGAAGCTTACGCCTTAGGTTAACACTGTAAGCCTTATAAGGGCCCTTATTTAGGCTATAGCTTTATTTTTTATAGTATTAATATACGGGCCCTATTTAAGTTTAGAATCTACCTAAACCTTTAGTATTTTTAGATCTATTATAGGGCCTTTAGTAAAGCCCTATATATTAACTATAGCTTTTATATTAATAAACTTGCGGGCTCTTATAAAGTATATTAGGTAGTATTTATCTAGCGTAAAAACTGTTTTATACTTTCTTGCCCACTCTATATACTAGTTATGCGCCCGTTTAATAGCCCTGCAGTTTTCTTCTATACTTTTACTATATATAAAAATATTTATATTATTAATAAACCTATAGGCTATTATATTACTATACTATAGTATTAGTAGAAGCGTGCTAGTAAAAAAAAGGAAAAGTATTAGTAATAGGAAAAAGCCCTGTAGTATTCCTATAGTAACTATAATAGGTTCTACTATAAAGTTTTTA